TTACTCGCACAAAACATTATTTTCAGGCTGCAATGTTCAGAACTTGCTTCCCAAAAGGATTAGTCCAGAAGATAGGCGAATCTGGGAATGTGCAAAGTTTGAGTAACCCAAGCCTAATGGCTGACCTTTCCTATACGCCTATATTATCCAAAGTCCTGTAGAGGAAACACAATGAACCACTGTAGACTCTTGCACATGCAGTGGATTTTACTAGAGGACAGGAACATTTTGTGCTAGGGAGTTAGAACCCCTCCCTTGTGGTTGGTCAGCATAAATACAGCTTGAGAAATGAACATGGTGAGGTTAACAGGTCCTGGCATTCTTGGTATGTGGAACAAGATGGCAGGGATGCTCAAGTCTTACGACTTGGGCTCTCTTAAGCAAGGCGTAAAGCACAGACAGGGAAGCTGTAGTGATTTATGAACTTGATTATATAACAAGTTAGTTATATCTATAGCATAAACGATGTGGCAGCAATGAAACTAGAACATAGAACATAGAGAGGCTGAGATCATTAGAAAAATATGAATAGGATAAATTACAAAATGAACTTTTCTTTAGGTAGGTGGTGGGAAAAACAGTCAGATCTAGTAAAGTACAGCCATCTTTTAGGAGCCAAGGCTATGGTCTGTCTGGCTTGCTTGCAACAGAGCACAGAAGATGGGGATGCTGTAGAGCAACGATTCTCAACCTACAGGTCAAGACCCCCTGGCAAACCTCGTACCTCCAAAAATATTTACATTACGATTTGTAACACTAGCAAAATTAGTTATGAAGCAGCAATGAAAATAATTTTTATTGTTGAGGTCACCACAATGTGAGGAGTTGTATTAAAGGGTCGCACCATAAGAAAGGTTGAGAACCACTGCTGTAGAGGCATTCAGTTCAACTTTTGATAAATTGCTACAGCTGAATGTGGACTAACCTTAGAGCATTTAACCCATCGTCCATCAGAATAAGAGGAGCTCAAATACACTTCTGGATTTGTGGAGATGAGCCTACACTGGACACACAAGAGAAGAGACACAGGAGAGATTAGAGACAATCAATCCCCAGATTGAATTTCAATTGAACAAATTTCAATTTGCTCATGGATACCTAGTGCTACAGTTAAAGCTCTGTATAGGTTGATAGGAAATGGTTTTAACATGGGCGATGAAATTGACTTGGCAGTATTTTTACAAATTATACAAAACTTTGTATGGATGAAGAGCCCTACATATCATGACAAACTCCTTTCATGTTCTTGGACTTTGTCTTATGACCTGGTGCTGACTAAGCAGGTCAAGAGGTGACACAAAATGGAAAATGGATTATTTTGTGGCTAACTCAAGTATGTTGAAAACTAAGGAGTCTGGATGAACTGGTACCAAATGTTGGATAGACTGGCTACAATTTCCAAATAGACAAGAGCTGTTTGATGGGTATTGTCTACTACTCCAAAGTGCAGAATGTGACATATAGGGTCAGATAACTGATCCAAGGTTTCTTTCAGTTAGCATGTCCTCATGGTTCACCCATGCTATAGACAACAATACCTCATTTTTCTTTATGGCTGAATATCTCACCATATGGGAAGATCACCTGTTTGTTTAGGTATTTTAGTTGTGTAGCTACAACTTGCACTATAGATGTGAATGTTTCCCTAGTCTTTGGGAAATACAAATGACTGGGAACTCTGGTTAAATCCCATTTTTGGTTTGTTTTTTAATGTGTGTATAAATATATAAATGTGTGCACGTGACTGTGTGTGCCCACGCAGACCATGGAGTTACAGGCCTTTGGCAGGATGACAAGCTTCTCTTGGGTGCTGGGATTTCTGGTCCTCATGATCACTCAGCAAGTTTCCTGAACCTCTGAGCCATCTTCAAGCTCCTCAAACTGCATAATCTCAATTGACACAGGAGCCCTTCTCAACTTTGGTAATTGTGCTTTTTAACTTCAGAATTTTCTTCCTCGAGTTAGCTTAACCTCATATTCAGTCCTATTCAGTCTTAAGTGCTACAACAGTCATGTGCACCATATCTTTATCTATATTTATTTATTTATTTGGTGGTTCAAATGTCATCACCATTTTTCTGATAGCAAATATTCTTCTACATCATCTGCACATTATCTTTATTTTTAGGCTACACTATGCTTTCTCTTATCTCTTTAAAGTGTTCTATAGGTTTTAACATATTTCATTTAGCTTTCTCGAAGTCTTATGTTCAACATCTGCCCTTCCTCAATTTCTATTTATTGCTGCTTTCTGCTTCCTTATGCACTGGGCCACACCTTGTCCATATCTTATTTGTTGAAAATTTGACACATTAAATAATAAAATGCTTATAAAGTCAGTCTCCTATGCCTGTCTAAGGCTGGTGATGGTCTCTTAATTATTCTGGTGAAGTTGAGTTCTTTTGATGTGTTAGGCCATTGTAGTCTGCCCAGACATTCCTTCATCACTATTTAGTGGGCTGTGCTCTCTCCCTGGTGAGAGTTGGGAGCACTTCAGCTTGGTCCTGAGCAGGCACTCACAGCCCGAGCTTGTGCATTCTGAATCCTAGAAACTTCCAAAGCCCCAGCAAGCCGACATTAACTTCTTCAGATTTCCCTCTAGGCTTTTTGGGTAATATACTGTTTACCCAACAGATTTCTACTTCCTGTGGAAGCCTTAATATCAAACTGCTGTGTTTTTGAAGAGCTAGCGTAAGGGAAAATGTTATCAAGCTAAGCAAGCTCTCACTCTCACCAAATGAAGGCAAGCGGGCGATTTCTAGTGAGCAACCATCCAGTAAAGCAATTTTTACGAATGTCCCTGTAGATGTGCAAGCTTGTTTATGTCCAGTAGCTGCCAGGCTGGTCTTCACTGTGATAATGGACTGATGGTTTACAAGGCTACCATGGGTTTATAGTGGGGGATGGGCAAATTAAGCTGTGCCAACCATCACTGTTTTATCAAGAATTGGTAGTTTCTGACACAAACACTCTACTGCAAGCCTGATTAACTCCTGAGTTCAGAGAAAGTTGGTTCCAGGAGTTTGGACACTTGCTTTCAGTTTTAAGACCACATGTCTGCAGGGTAGAGAAAAGAAACAAGCTAGCACTAAGTAGCTGTCTGCTGTCTGCAGAGGGGTCAGGTGACACTGAGACGGATTTCGGGTTGAGATATTACAGAATATAGGTATGTTTCCCCACTTAACAGTTGGAGGTATGATAATGTCAGTAGAACTAGTAAGGCTAAATATTGAAGAGGAAGGACACATTAAGATCTGTGGATGGATTTCCTCAAGGATCTGGTAGATGTTCAATCCATGGAATGTGTAGAAGCTCACACAGGCCTAGGTAGTATGTGATTCTAATCACAATATTACAGTAAGGATGACAAGAGTCACAAACCAGGGTTTTTCAACCTTTAGGCTCAAAGTGCAGAATCTTTCCTACTAGAGTTCAGCAGTGTATCTAGACTGTATCTGATAGCTGTAGTACCTTTCATGTAATAACCTAAACATCTCCAGACACAAGATCAAGTTCACCAGAAACTACCCTACACTAGCAGCTTACCTATCTGGAATCATTGCAGCAAAACAGGAATAAACTAGGTTCACAGATAAGTTCACTGCCATTGTAATGTCTCCATGTAACAAAACTGTTGCAGTAAATGTAAAATTTGGCTTCTACTCTTAGGTGGACCATCTCTGACTTCTGGCTGGAGTAACACTCTTAGGCAGACTAGCAAAACTGTTAAGAGCATTCCCAACTTTAGTTTGGGAAAGTCTGAGGTACACATGAACATTTTTCCTTTACGTGTGTATGTGTGTGTATGGAATAATGTACAGACTGAAGAAAAACACCCATCTACACCACAATCTGAATTCCACTGTTGTAGCTACTGATATTCCTCAGCTCCTGAAATAGAATCTGGAGTTGGCAGCTCCTGCTTACAGGCTGAGCAGAAGGCCTTACCTTCTTCTAACAGCAATAACATGCAGGAAACATGGAATTCAGTGAACATTCTTTAACTAACCAATATTCTTCCATGGCTTCCACAGTAGTAAAAGTGCAAATATTTAAAAGACCTTTCAAAAAGCCCTCTTTTCCTTTAGTCACTGTATGGTATAAGTAGGCGGCTCCGAGTCAAAGCTCCTCTACACAGCCATTTCATTTAGAATTCTAGCCATTCTTCTAGAATTTGTCCTTCAAGGTAACCATTGATGACTCTTCTACAGACACTTCAATGCAAGGTCTGGTGAAACACATCTGCCTTGCCAGCACTGGGGAAAGTAAAAACCAATGCTAGCCTAAGTCACACAGCACGATCTTCAGTGACAGTGCATGCAGAAGATCTAGTATGGAGGATGCCCTAGGTTTAATTACTGGTACTATGTCCCCCAAACCAATACATGGCTAAAATAACTAGACACCATGACTTTCCTGTATCTGTTCCATTGTTAACATACATAAAGTGGACAGAAGAAACCAGGAGTCTAGATCGCCATTCTTCTTCATTTAACGGAAATACTTATTGCAGGGGTATATAATATAGAACTCAACTTTTGGATCCTATACATAGCAAGTTACTTAAACACTACAAAGGTAAGATCACAAGTAACAACAACCATGAAAAATTAATATTTAATTTATATTAGTTATATGCACAATGAAAATTACTATTCGTTTTGCTTAAAAAATAACTTGTAACAAAGATGATGTATTTTTAAGTAGTCATGATTCATTTTTTCACCATTATTTTAAGTATCTTAACAATTTTATGACATTATTTTGTGTGTGAGAGTGCATGTATACACATGCATGTGCCATACTGTGCATGTGCAGAGAACAAGTTTTGTGAACTGGTTCTATCATTCCATCATGGGAACTTCCAGGGTCAAACTTAGGTCATGAGGCTTTGCAGCACGTGAACCATTTCATTAGCCTTGTTTTGCCTTATTTTCAAGGCAATAGGCAAAGTTTAACTAGTGAAATATATTTCATAATCATGGATAAGAAAACAAATTACAGAAAAAAAATTCTGTAACCTCTAAATTATTTTGTATAAGAAATAATATGGGGCAAGCACTCTTAAAAATCAAATTTAGAGACCTATAAAAGATTATGTAAACATTCCCCGAACTCACACAAAAAAGGAAAACTCTTTCAAAGAGACTTAAATAATAGGCTAATTAAAAACAAAAACAACAAAAATTTTGACAGAAAGCTCAAAAGACAATGAGCAATCAGTCATCAAACGTGATTTTTTTCCCTTGAAACACAGTGATTTTGGACTGCTGCTCTTTCCGCCTCCTGCTCGCTTCCCAGGAAGGATGCAGAGGAGCATGAGTCTGCTGCTTCACACTCTCAAACCCTCTTCGTGCACTCTTTGTAAACCGACTCTTGATTGGAGGTTCATTTTCTGCAAAGTCTGGGAAGACAAAGCAAAAATTACAACTAAATATATGGGCAAGACAGACTGCATCTCTTTACATCATTCACTGAAGGAGAATCTCAAAGTATCTCACAATTTACAGCTAACGCCCAAGAGAAAACAGCTTCGTGCGAAAGACTAATAATACGAGGAGCTAACTTTGGAGCTCACCCAAAGTAAGCAGATTCTTACTGAGTCAGTCTATCTTTCTTACAGTAACATCAAGAGAGCAAGCAGTTCTACTAACATCAGGAGACAAAACAAGCCAAAATGAACCAATAAAAATGATGTTGATAATGATCAGATGCTCCATTTCGACTTGTGTGGGTACACAATTCAGTAATTCTATCAGGAGATGACAATTTTCATCCTCTCATTGTGGCAAAGTACTGCTTGTCAGCCTGTCAGACATTAGTACACACCTGGAGTTTTATTCTTTGGGGCCTGTTCTCTGAAATCCCTAAAGAAAAGAAAAAACAACATTAGGAGTTAGAAGACAAAACAAATCTGCTGATGACTGAGTGCATGTAAGCTCACCCTCAAAATGCATCCACTTGCTCACTCCACTAACAGCCAATAAAACAAAATGATCCATGATGCAGCTAAACAGTCATTCAATTTCAATGTGACCACACCCACACACCCACACACACCCACCCTCTTTTCTTTCCACCCACATAGGGACTTCTGTTCAGTGGAAAACAATCCATTTTGGCTATCTTGCTCTTGGACACTGTCTATATAAAGAACTTCAAACATTTTCTCAAGGGGAGAATGATTTACACATAATGAAAATTAACACCCATATTTTGGTGCAGAACCAAGAAAAACCTTGAAACCTTTTGGGTTATGACTGAGTCAGATAGGTAAATATTTTAATTACTCTCAAGGCTTTATTAAAGTTGTAGGTAAATATTCTAATTACTCTCAAGGCTACAAAGTTGAAGTTCTTTTCTACGCCAGGTTTGGAAAAATATTTACATTGTATTATTTTATTAAAGAATATCTCTGACCAATAAATAACACAGAAAAAAGGGTCATTATGGAAAATACCAGCCAGTCACAGCCTCTACGTTAAAATGTGTCAGTATTCCCTATCAGACAAAAGTGATGAATGAAATGAAACTTTATAGAAGATCAGCTGTGAGAAGTGGCTATCGGCAGAGATGAAGAGCAACATCCCAATGTAAAGTCGTCTGTAGAAAGGCAGCCTCATGCACTAAAACATGGGAAGGAGCCAGGTTTGGAATGGTAGTGGGTTGTTATACATCCATCCAAAAATTCTGTTTATTGAGACAGATGTTTTTCATAAAAAATATCCCAAATTTTAAATTTTGAATGGGAAGAACAAAACCTATATTCCCCAGGCATGCATGTCACTGGGCTGTAACAGACCATCTCTTCAGAAGCTGGGCAGTGTCACTGCTGTATGTGTATTTAACATGCTAATTATGAAGACGGAGAGAGCACCAGGCCAAACTCAGCATGGCAGACACAAAGCAGGTTCATGAGGAGTTTCTGTCATAGTGCAAGGATATGCAGCCACTTCATAAAGTAAACAAAAATGAACTAAATCATTTCAGAATAAAAACATGTCCTTACCTCCTGGAGCTTTTAGGTCCAGATAAAGAGTGGAAAAACACAGATTCTAACTTCCTAGCGTCTGGAATTCCCTTGTGTTTATCATTTCTTAAATCCCAATCAGGATCAAGTGTATATGTTTTGGGTGACACCTTTTGGAGGGGTTTGTGTTCCTTAGCTGAGGACCGGACACCCCCTTCCTTCTTTCTTGTACGTCGGACTTTTCCAATGAAGAAATCATCACCACTGTCACTATCCTCAGACACAGAAGACTGTTTGTAGAATCTTTCTTCAGTGCTATCATCAAAGTACTCCTTTTCCTCCTCACTCTCCTCTTCCTCACTGCCACTGTTCTCACCCAGGGTGCTCTCCCTTTCTTTCTTTGTGGTTTCAGTTAAGGCAGTCCGTTTTGAGTCTGCAGGTGCCTTCTGTGAGTGTGCAGAGGTAGCCACAGCATCCTTTCCTGCAGGCATCCCTGGAGAACATGGAGTGACCACGGCTTTGGGTCCATGTTCTATCGTGGCCAATTTTTCTTTTGAATCATGTACTGCTTTCTTTGCTACTGTTTTGGCATCTTTTCCTTTCTGCTCACTGACAATAGTTCTCTCAGGATGCTGTAACTCGCTTGCATCATCTTTTGAACAGAGAGTGTTTTTTTGCTGGCTTTCCTCTGAAGCATTCTTTGATGACTCAGCCTCAGGAGCATTCTGTCTTGCATCTTTGAAGGCTTGAACAGCAGCTGCAAGGAAGATAGTGCAAGACTTGTCTCAGCACTGGCACATACAAAGTGTCACTGTCCCCACACAGTACTGCTTTAGCTATGTGGAAACATTTAAGAGGACAACTAGAAATCTACAGTATGTATGGAACAGGAATATGAGCTTACAAAGAAATCTTTTCATTACACAAATGCCAAATTCATAAAGTACACTAGGAGATATCCAGCTTAAACTGCAAAATGAAAATTATTTTCTTCATGTTTCTGAATTATAAAGAACAGTAAAAATATCACTGAAAACAAAATGACAACACTAATTTTTCTGTTAATGTCATTGAATTAGTTTTCAGGCATAATTAGTTTTTAGGTACTTAATCTTTGACAAAGCACTTAATTTCATAAATATATTTTATAAAAGATAAATAAAAATTATGATAGTATGAGTTGTATAAAAATTTAACACATCAACTATCTATCCAACATAATTGTGCTTTATATTTTATAAAACACTACATATAATACATTTTAAAATTTAGAAAAAATACAGATTTAATTTTTTATATCAAACATCTTTCATACTTGCAAACATGTCCAGAGTTATATACTTTAAATATTTATAAAAAATAAAATCACTTATCCAAAGTCATACACCTAAATACATTAAGCATCCTGACTTGTCATTTAACTCATACCTTTTAGTGCATCTATTTTTTTCTTTAGAAGAGGGTGAACTGCTAATCTGGCAATTGCTCTTTCAGAAGCAGTTGAATCTGGCTGCAAATTGAAAGCAATAAATTTATAACATCAAAATTAACCTGCACTATTAGAAATTTGAAATCTATCAATCTATTGTATGTATTAGTTAGATCACATAATTTGCAAATATTCTCGATAGATAGATTATCTATGTAATCTACTGTAAAGACAAAGATCAAAATATAACCGATTTTGAATAATTAAAAAATGTTACCATTTAAAACTAAAAAAACTTAGAATGTCTTCTATCCTTCTATCTGTATGCTCAGAACACAACACAGTACCTAGCTCGTTACTAACACTTTACGAGAGGAACATAGAATTCTGTAGCACTTACTGTGTTTATAAATTAAAACATTCATGTCATGACACCTGTTACTTTTTACATGCCCACTGGGGCCAACCTTTTCCATATCCTACCCCTAGCTCCATCATTGGATCAGGCTGATCTCTAGTAGCATGTTTAAAGAGAGACCTTTAAATTGCCCATGTCTCCTACAGTAATTTCCATTTCCTGAATGTATTTTCCCTTCTAAGTACTCAGATAAAGATTCTGTCACCAGTTTTCCTTTCATCACATACTACAGGACACGTTAAAGTTTAATTTGAATAAAAATAGTGCCATGACAGATTATTCCTAAGAAGGTAAAATTTAACAAAATTTCAAGCAATTCTTTAATTTTATTCACAAGAAAGTAAAATTAGTATCTCAAACTTCTAAAACATTTATTAAGATTTTTCTTAGGCTGGGTGGTGGTGGCACACGTCTTTAATCCCAGCACTTGGGAGGCAGAGGCAGGTGGATCTCTGTGAGTTGGAGACTAGCCTGGTATACAAGAGCTAGTAGAGAAATCCTGTCTCGAAAAACAAAAATCAACAACAAAAAGGATTTTTCTTAGACAATGCTTCACTTTTACAATTCAGATATTAACAAAAGACTATAGGCCAAGAACTTTTTTTCTACAAAACAAACCAACAATCTACACTTGATTCAAGAACATTTAATTTAGCTATGTAGGGACAAACTGGAACTCAAACTCAACTTTGTGAGTTTGGTCTAATATGTCCCTAAAATTTTTCCTCTAATTCACAATCATTTGTGACTTAGCTGCAAATTATTTCCACACTAAATTATTTGAAGTCCACTTTAAATCTTTTCAGAAAAAAAAAAAAAAAGGAGGAATAAAAACATTAGTGAAAAAAAACCAAATCTAAACCAAAGGCTTGTGAGAAGCAGGAGGCACAGGTTCATTCTCTTGGCCACTCTGTCTTTCAAACTTGCATGTGTTCAGTGCAGGAACTAAACAACAAGGAACCACTGCAGGGCTGACCTTCCCTCTCTACTCCCTCTATACACTTACTGACTAAATGTTGTGACACTAGTTTAGAAGGCTAAAATATCTCCACAAATGACTAACCCAGAGCAGAATGTGATAAACATCATCTGAGAAAATGTCACAGGGACATATAAAAGGAGCAGACCCTGTGATGTATCTACTGTGCAGTGACCCAGGGCTTTGCCATCTCTGAAGTGGTGACACTTGCAAGCAAGGCCTTCACAGGGTTAGGCTGGATGAAAGAAACCGCAGCTTTCCTTATTTAAAACTGACACAACGTTTGCCATGGAAAATTCTCAGGAAACTGTGGTTTCTCACACACCTCCAGTTTCTTCCACTTCAAATAAATTAAAAAAGTAGAAAACACCCTCATCTTTTAATGGAAAAATTTTATTTTGGCATTTGGGTATTTCTTATCAACACAAAGGTATTTATTATTCAACTCTGAAAAGAATTCTTCAGATATGCTCTGGATGGAAACAAGTGTCTAAAAGAGAAAGCTTACCTATGTGCAGCACGAGTTCTTTGAAATGTCACTAAGCAAGTTGTAAACCCACTGCTAAAGCAAGACCATGAATATCAACACTTGTAATAATAAACTGGGCTTAAGTTCAATTTTACATTTTATCTAAAGAAATCAATCAACAAGTTACTGTTCTCAATGCACAGTTCTCACCTTAGAGTAAGAGACAGTTTACTCTGGAGACATTTTAACTGACCATGGCTCAAGAACACCAAATTCCACATTCCAACATGGAAGCAATTTCATGACATTTTGCAGTTTTACAGAACAAAGAAATTGGTAAATCAAGGCAAAGTTAAAATACATTGGTGAGCACATCAGAAAGGCAGTTACAGCAAGAGAAGGGAAGCTTTCCTATAGGCTTAAGAAGCTATCCAACCACATTCTCAGTTTTTGGTTCATGCAAATTAGTGGTGAGCTAAATTAATGGGTTCCAAAGGTTTGTGTGTATTAGTCACAGGATGTCAGTTCTGACACAGGTGGGAAAGCTATGTATTCAGGGGTTACTGACCTAGCCAAAATACAGTAATTAATTAGTCTCTGGGTCTGTGGCATTCCAACCTCTCCACACCACTATAGTTTTATTCAATCACCCTGCAGACACAGCTTGTTTACAGGAATTCTCCTTTACACTATCTGTAAAACTTTTTAGGAAGATAATGCAAAATAGTTCCTTTGGCTGATGAAATGAATCATGGTAAAACCCTGAAGAATATTTTGGAGATGATAAAACATTTTAAAATATCAATTATATTACATATGAACACAGCTAAGATTTCTTTTTCTTTTCTTTTTTTTTTTTTTTTTGGTTTTTTTCCGAGACAGGGTTTCTCTGTGTAGCTTTGGAGTCTATCCTGGCACTTGCTCTGGAGACCAGACTGGCTTCGAACTCACAGAGATCCACCTGCCTCTGCCTCCTGAGTGCTGGGATTAAAGGCGTGCGCCACCAACGCCTGGCCAAGATTTCTAGCTTAAATGCTGAAAATAGACAAATTAAGTGTTTCTACTGGAGAGAAAAACAAAAGAACTAATTTTATTCATTGTGGGTATATATAAAGAAATTAAGCAAGGCTTGCCACAAACTACTTGACATGCACAGGTAAAATGTGATAGATGGATGGCTGTTACATGGTAATTTGAGGAAAGGTAAGCAGTCATTTAAATGCTAATACATTTAATCACTCATGCTACTCTTCAAAATTGTTAAAAGTAGTAGTTTAGCTTTTAGTTATTGGCATTTCTTTCTGCTTGACAGGGAGGAGCTCATCAATACTTAACCTGCTGCTAGATCTGCACTGAGGGGTTGGTATTTATCTTCTGTTAGCTTACATTAACCTCCAATTATAGCTTCCTTAGGTCCTACTTCCAGAAGTGGACCAAATCTAAATTTACTGGGTCTATGTTATATCTTGAATATGAAATTTCTTCCAAGCTTGCTTGGTCCCTTTTAGAAGCTGTTTTAGGAGGTTAAAGATCCTTTGGGAAAGAAGGCCTATTGGCACTGTCAGTGAGGGCTTGGAGGTACAGTTTTGCCTGTATCCATCCATACTATTCCTGCTTCTGGATCCATCAAAATGTAGGCAAGCCTCATAGGAAGCCATTGCCATGAATGGAGCAGCCCTAGCTACCATGCCTTCTACATCATGGTGGGCGTTTACTATAATGTAATGTTAGAGTCTGGGGGGCGGGGGGGGCGGCGCCAGCCGCAGCAGCAGCAGAAGCAACCTTTTCCCTTTTAGGTACTTCAGTGCTACTAGGGCACTGTCTGTTGAGACCCTGACTAACAGACTCCTATGTGACAGATCTCTGTATATCAAAGGAGGTATTAGTGACTGATACCTAGCTCCTCACACCTATCCTTGACCCTGACCTGGGAACCATCTAAGCACCTGGCTCTAGTTTTGTGCTGTGAAATCACTCCCATCCTCAGAAACTCTGAGAGTCCTCCTCCTGACAGTGGGTTCTTAGTCCTCCTAAGAGACCCTGCCATGATATCTCTCTCTGCACTCTCCCCAGAGACTCCATTATGCTCTCATACATCTGCCTATCTATACTAGTAATACTCTAGTAATAAACTCTATAACTTCAACAATCCGTCTCAGTGTACAATGGCTCCTTAAGTTTTTGAGCCATTATTTTCTCTCTCTGCTTCTGTACTTTCTTTTTAATAGAGATGAGAAAAGAAATGGATGCATTCCAAACAGAATATTTTTATGTCTTTGGTGAACATACAATATGGCAAATGAAAAACAATCATAAAAAAATAAATGGAGGAGCTGGAGAGACGGCTCAGCAGTTAAGAGCACTGGCTGTTCTTCCAGACGACCTGGGTTTAATTTCTAGCACCTATATGACAGCTCACAACTGTCTGTGATTACAATTCCAGGGACATGCAGGCAAAAACAACAATACACATAAAAGTAAGTAAATAAAAAGTTTCTTAAAAATAAATAAATGGAAAAACGAGAAGTAGAAATTGATTCTTAATATCACTTACTTGACCAGAATTTTAAGTAGGCAGAGGGCAAGATAAATCTTTTAACAAAAGAATAAGAAAAAACAAACAAACAAACAAAAGTACATTCCTCTTAAGACTGCAAAGCCACTGGCATTAATGACAGAAGAGATGGATTCTGGGAAAAAACTCGAATACCAAGACCCTTCCCCCTAAAAAAATTCCAAACTTTTAGCAGTGAGGTAAGTCAGTTTCTTATACTTTCTACTACTTTATGTATTTAGCTATTAAAATTTGGTAATGGAAATGGGAAAAAGGGAGTAGGCAAAAAGACTTCGAAGGTTTATTCTGGGAGATAATTATAGAATATTTAGAGGCAGGGTAAGGTGTTTTACAGATTGGTACCTCATCTCTACCACAGACATACCTTTTTGCAAGTTTTTTCAAAGTTGATATCGTCACCAAGAGCAGATTTAGTTATGACATCAGGTTTCAATTCCTGTGATAGTAAACAATTCTAGTTAATCTATGAACAATGTAATTTAAATTCCTTTTGTGTCTTGATTTAAGAAACTTGGTATTTAAAATATTAACTTCCAGAGAAGAAGTAATACCTACCACTGTTAAGAAAATATATAAGGCTACAACAAATGCCTTTAAGTATCACTTTGATTCCCCTTACAGCAACACACAAGTTCAGTACATTTTCAAGGACTACAATCTATAACCCAAAAGATTCATATTTAGTCAGCAAGTCTTTAAATATGAAGAATATAAAAATAAATACAACAAACAAATATACTTTTGAACTTGCAGAAATCCATGGAATACTGTGTATATGACCCTTTGTAAGGGGGTATTGTAAAAGATGAACTTCAGCCTGGGAGAAGTAACCTTATTACCAATACTTGTGGGTGAGTACGAATTTGCAGGTTAAGAATAACTGTAGTGACACAGAAGAAAAGCATAGTAGATAATCCCCATAATTTAACTACAAAGAAAAACTTCAACTGGAAAAAGCAGAGGAATGGAGGGAGGTTGTAGAGATCATTATTTTACACACACGAAAAATGGCAGGAGCCCAAAGGATGTCATTTAAAATGGGCAGACTATGCAATGACTAGGTTCAATTCCCAGCATCCACATGGCAGCTTACAACCATACCATTCTAGTTCCAGGGATACAGTACCTTCTTCTGTCCTCCATAGGTATCAGGACAGAAGTGCACACACACACATATCCAAAATACTCATATTTATCAGAGATGGCTTAGTGGTTAAGAACACTTACTCCTTTCTCAGAAGACCAGAGTTGGATTCCCAACACCCATATCAGATGGCTCACAACTGCCAGAGCCTCCAGCTCCAGGGGATCTGATACCTCTGGCCTCTTTGGAAACTGTACTCACATGCACATACAGCTCCCATGATTAAAATTAATAAACCATGAGACAGAGTCAGAGTCCCTGAGGAGAGATCAGGAGGAGCTACTGGTCAAAGTGCAGACCAGGTGCAGCGGAAGACCCCTGTAGTTTAGAGTACCATGGGATGACTGCCAAGAACAGCAGCAGCAACAGCAGTAGCTGAGGAATGGAGCCAGCCTGGGCCTAGGAGACACAGTGTGTGTGCTGCAGAGGGCAGAGCCCAGAAGTGACCCAAGCCCTTTGAAGTAGCCAAAAAGATAGTGAGTGACTCCCGGACACTGAACACTGAGTTATTTTCACTGTTGGGAGTTTGATTTTGCTTTGTTCAGAGCAAAACATATGCCATAGGTTCCTCGCTCTTGAAATAAGAAAATGTTTAACTTATTTTTGATTTTACAGGAGTCCACAGAGACTGGAATTTTAGATATGGAATTTTAAAGAGACTTTTGAAGACTATAGGACTTCTAAAGTTATTTGAGTTTTATATGAAATTAACTTGTCATCTTAGGGATAAATGAGAAAGAAAAGGTTCTATTTAAATAGTGATGTATTTGTGTGTGAAGTTGACAAGGGGCCAATAGTACTGGTTAGTTTTATGTCAACTTGACACAAGCTACCAACATTTTGAAAGGAATCTCAATTGAGAAAATGCTCCCACCAGATTGTCTTGTGGCCAGTACCGTACTAGAGCTGACGGTCTTAGGTGTTATAAGAAGGCAGGCTGAGCAATCCACAGAGAACACACCAGTAAGCAATGGCCCCCCCATGACCTCTTCATCAGTTCCTGTCTCCAGGTTCCTACCCTCACTTCCTTTGATGTTAGACTATGATGTAGAAGTGGAAGTGAAATAAACTCCGCTTCCAAAGTTTCTTTTGGTTATGTTTTTTATACAGCAAAAGAAACCCTAATTAAACTAGTATGTAACTCAGATAGTCATGGAACAGACATGCAAAAAACAAAGGTTTCATAAATATCTGTTTTACATAGGCACGATAGATCTATAAACCACTATCTCCTATACACAATATTAATCCAATCTACTCTCTAGCCAGCCACTCCTGTATTCCGCTTTCAGTTTCATCATTTTAGAAAGCACAATTGCTCAAAAAACTTTGATGTGTTTATATTTTTAAAAATGCTTCAAAATGGAATGCCACCTGCAATTTTAGTCACTACTTAGACCTTTAAGTCTCCATTCATTCCATAACCCAGCAATGACAGTTACTTTATTAAAGACATAAATTAACCATCTGCATTACATGACCATCAAGGAACCGAGATGGAAACTAAACAATGAGACACAACACCCATTCTGAAGGAAACTGAGACAAGGAAATAATAAAAATGACCATCACACAGTCAGTGTATAGTTTAGTGTACCAGAACTACAGAGTGCTGAAAAGCCCATACCCACCATGCTCTTACAGATCCATGTGCTCTGTCTACAGTGCATTCTACTTACCAGAACACTGATTGCTAGATAGTTCATATTTACTTTTCTAGTTCTAAGTTAGTATCTTCACTGTGGCTTTTTCCTAAAATCATGTTAGATACTAAACTAAATTGTTTTCCTAGGTGTGAGCACCTCTTTGGTTGTGTGTGTTTCCAACAGAACAGTACACTATGACAGCAAAAATCAGAAATCTACTTTATACAAACACTAAGTCTTAAACTAAAATGTACAAAACCTGCATATATAATATGAAATTTTAAGAGCTTCCTAGAAATGACAGCTAGCTTTCATTTTATTTTGAAGTTATCAATTTTATGACTAATCAGACACATTAAAAAAGTAGGATGCTCTCTTAGACTGTGATGAGCAGAAGAAGGGCTGTTCCCCATCCCTGCAAATTCTATCATAGCGTACTTCAACAGTTACGAGGATTTAAAACAACACGTCTCTCCCCGATTCACCCCAGATAAAAACAGTAGATTGAACAGAGTTTGGCTGATTTAGAAAGGAAAAAGGGAAGCATGTACAGGAGATGTCTACAACATTAGACACTGCCAAGGATTAAAAATTAGAGCACTTTTCCCTACTTGGAATAATTCTTATTTTCTTCTTTTGGTGATTTATTTATTTTTATGTGTATGGGTACTTTATCTGCATGTGAAATTTTTACATTAACAGCTGAAAAGTGCTCTGGATACTTTCATGGTTATTAGGACGCATCCTGACAGGGTGAAAAGTTCACGTTTCCAGAATTACAAAACTCGAAAAATCAAATTAAAAATAACCCCCACCCCCCATCCCACACCCAGTACTTTCTACTCTTAAATCTTTTGTACCTACTCAATTGAGAAGGAGGTTTATCTGGATGGATCAATTCCAGAATCAGTTCTTTACTCAGAATCTTGGTGTGTACTGAAACCTAATCAGCAAGAACATTTTGCGTTTACTAACTTGTCCTGAAGCCTGGCCTGCTTTCCCCAGAGGTAAGAAGTTTCAGAAGACAGACACCACTTATACTTGAAACATCTGCTTGTATTTAGAAGAGTAAGTTAGGGCCACCATATGCTTACAAAATGTCTATATTACAGGACCTAGAATGAAACAATATTAAGGGGCTAGGAATATGGCCTATTCGAAGCTCAGACTTTCAGTTGAAGAAATTACATGCCAGAAAGCAAACTGGGATTTCAATTAAAAAAAAAAAAAAAACAGTTCTTAATATGGTGTTTCCTGAGTATGAGGGGGGCAGTATATACTGATCTCTGCACATAAAACCAAGAGTTCCAATGGATCATTTCAAGGATCTTGTTCCACTTTAACAAGAAAAGTCCTGCATTTTAATAATGCAGAAGGCTGGTGAGATGGCTCAGTCAGGAGACTGTACTTTGATCCCCTTGACCTCGTATCGGACCTCTACACATCTGCTATGTACTCACACATGCAAAAACACACAAATAACAATGCAAAACCAAGTTATATGGCCTTAGCGCACTGACTAAGGTGACTTTATACAATAAGGTAATTTTTTATCTTTTTGTTTCTGACACTTAACACGTGTAAATAATAAAACCAAACTTTATTTCATAATCCTTTTAGTAACAATTTAGTATCATTTTACTTTTGTCTGGGGATTTGGAATAATCCCAGCACCAAAGCAACGTAAATAAAAATGCTGCATTAAAAGCCACTCAGCCATCCATATGCCAAATATATCACTATATGTTAGGAACATTAACTTAGTAATCTGACTCAATAGCTTAAGACATCCTCCCTAATTATTAGTAGGGATGCCATGAAAACAGACCATGGAAGAAATATAATGAGCTATATTGAGGGTCAACGGTTCTGGAATGAGAATGGCAGTGCTGGGAAGGGTTCCTCAGAACCAGTACTGTAAGGGTAAGGTGCCAGGGACTGGGGATATGGTTTAGTAGGTAATGTTGTCACCATGTAAAGATGAAGACCTGAGTTCAATCCCCAGCATTCACATAAAAAGCCAAGTTTGTTGTACTTGTTTGCTTCAGTTTTATCTTTTGGTCTCCAGATAAGTAACTTGAGGATCTTTAAGTTGATAAGTTGCCTCTCGGTGAAAAAGAACTTGTTCCAGAAGCCAGTGTGCACACTGACATTTTAAGAGTCTGAGTACCATTAGAAACAGCATCAGAAATGGGGCTCATACTTATAGTATGTAAAATTAGAACCTATCATTTTATAGAATCATAAAGATCTGGTCCCTGTACCCTCCCCAGCGGCCAAAAAGAAACTACTCCCATTTCTAAAAATATAAGGGGTTTTCTTCATGAGGATGACATCTTGCAACAAAATACCCTATTATCATACCAAGCAAGTATAAGACAGTATGTCATGAGCACAACTATAAAAGTCTAGCAGTATATGAGCCAAAGAAAAAACTCCTCTGGAAAAATAGTAAGTAGAGGTTATCCTCCAATTTAATTGTGACCATAAGTCTACTGTTTTGTGGCTATTTCTTTGATACTCCCATATGTATGGAAAAATACTTCCTTACAAAATTATGAAAGACCTTTCAATTGAAAAAATGATAAGTATATTTACTTCTTTCAGAAAAAGGCTGATTCTATAAAAGTACCATGAATCAGAAATAAAATGAAACACTTTAGCTAAGTAAACATATAGTTGATCTAGTAATCCTATTCTGAATTTTTATATTTAGATGCAATGCTGTGTTTAAGACAATACAAAAAGGAGATTAAAAACAAAAGAAGCAAGAAAAGTCAGACTAGCCAAAGTAGAATACCCTAATCCCCACCAGGAATTCAAATATGTATACTATAAAGTATATGAATTCAATGCATAGCTAGTAAACTGTAGCTCTCTAGGGTAACAGTAAGACTTCTCACATAGGGGGAATACAGACATAGTAACCTTGTAACTGTATCTTCCCTGCTAATCAAAGTAAAGAACAGAAAACAAGCTTCACATATAGATCAGAGATGACAACTCCTTAAGTAACAAAAGCATATTATTGAGAATTACAAAATGCAGATGAATGAGACATTTGTTATCCATCAAACTCCTTACAGACTGCATGTCTCTTATATGTACTTGACTCCTCTTACAGAGAAATCAGCAATTATCTAGTTGTTCAAAATCTGTGAATAACTAAAATTACAAAGATTAATCCTTAGAAGAAATTACAGGAAAAGGTCTATCAATTGGATTTTATGTATTTGATAGTCCTACAGAAGGAGTGACAAATACAAGTAAATGTGCTTCATACCAAAGAATCATTTCCCATACCCATATTTATATTAACTGGGATAACTGTATTCTATTCAATATTTTCCCATTTCTAAAAATGGAAGAGTGAAAAGCACTGATAATTTAACTCAATTAAAATATTGTTAAAGAATTCTTTTTTGCTTTTTTATCTAACACAAACTTGAAAGTTATACCAAACTATAAAAGTCAAACATACACACAAATTACCCTGCAATTAAGATAATTGCTGGTACCAAATGTTGTTTTTAAGTTCAGCAATAAAAACGTCTTCCAGACATTTAATGGTATGTCATTTTGTAAATGAAAGTTTCCACAAAGAAAGGGCAGTGAGAAGACCTAAAAATTATGCTAGGGAAGAATCTGGCTGAGAAGACAACAATATGGGCCATGTTGGTCCAACATTACATTTATTTTAAGTTCTACAAACCTAATAAAATGCTGACACCACTACATAAAAATTTATTGAGTTGGCAACAGGAGAAGCATGATGTCAGCCACCAGCATCACCACCCCCATTTCCAAATTGCACGAACCCTTTAACTATTGACCTTAGCTTAGAATACATGCCTAAGTAACAATAAAAATAAAAGCCTTAGACATGAGGCACTATAAAACACAAATGAGTTTAGTTTGGCAATTTAAATTCAAGTTAGTCTAGTACTTAAACAGGGAAACATCTAAGCTTACACATGTAGCAGTTTTGCAAACGTGCCTCTCATCATCAAGCTCAGCCACACAAATAAGCCTTGAACAACCCTGGAACCCTTAAAGAGGCACCATGCACACAAGATATGGGCTGCCAGGAGGCAACACAGCACACGGTGCATATTCACACATCCTTACCTTCATGGCGTGTATCTCTTCAAGCAATCTTTGGGCTCGTCTTTGGTTTTTCAATAGTGCATCTTCAGTGCCCCTGTAAAAATACAATTATTACCAAGGAAAACATTAGTTTTAGAGCCATGTCTTGATTTTAAGCATTTTAAGTTTTTGAGAAAAGCCTACAAGACAAGCACTCCACCCTGTACTGCTGTTCTCAACCCAGTGCAACACATACCTGTTATCACTGTGTTGGAAACTGGACAAGACATGCTATCCTGGAATCATTTCACTGACTGGTAGCTTTTCTCTAGTCTTTTAATGACAAGTTCAGTTATATCCTGTCATCAAAGACTCTATTTAATGTAATAAAAGTTGTGGTGATATTTTGTTTGTGCTCTAACAAATGAAGCTTGTCTGGAGATCAGAGTGCGGAGCTAGTCACTACTTAACCATAGAAGCCAGGCAGTGGTGGCACACCTTTAATCCCAGCACCTGGGAGGAGGAAACAGGAAATGATATGGCCAGGCAGAGAGAGGAAGTGATAAGGCAGGGCGGAGACAGGAGCTTGTTCTCTTTTTGGCTGAGAAGTTGGTGATGTATAAGTGTGGCTGTGGCTTGCTCCTTTGAGTCTCTGATCTTTCAGCAGTTATCCCTATATCTGACTCTGGGTTTTTATTATTAAGACCAACTGGAACCCATGTTATAAAAAGCCTCCTAAGACACCGCTAATGGCTAGAGATACTTTTATTAACTGAAAATTGTTCTCTGGAATAAAAGAAAAAAAAAGATGTTCACTATTTAATTCGAAGGAAGGGTTATCTTCTGGGACATTTATGAACAAACAGAAAATCACAAACCACACATTTAAAGGCTTTTTCTAATACCTTGTGTTTAAGAACCACAAAGAGTTTTTCATTAACACTAATGATACTGGAAATAAAAAATATTATTTTACTGAAAAGCATCACACAATATATAATAAACTGACAACTACTTCTACAAAATACTGAAAAAGGCTGATGAAAAATAGTCATAACTGATTCAAGGTAGGCATCTTAGACTTATTAACACTTTAAAATAACTTCTAGTTACATAAAACACATAAGGAACCATGAAGGCAATTTCACTTTGCAAACAGGAAAGGAGAACTTTCTTAAAAATGGAAGAAATTATTCTGGTATCTTAAGCAAAAAAGGCTCCAAACACACAAGGGCATGCGGACACAGCATGTTCTCTCCCATCTAGATCATTTCTAGACAGAAAACTTATGTGCTGAAAGCATACCCATTTCTCTAACTTATAAATATTAAAGATATTTTTGACATTTTATTAGTTACAGGATTATTACTTCACACAACTAACTTTTTGGACTTCAGTCTGCCAACACTCCTGACAAGTTTTCGGATAACCAAAACTCGGATTCGCTTCACTTCTTTTCTCATCTTCACAACCTTTGAGGGAAAAAGACAAAATTAAAAAGATTATTAATGGAAATAAAGACACTCTGATTGTTCTTCCATACTGAAGTCTACAGTTTAACCAATGCTCTGCTTAACAGCTCAGACTGATGTAATCATACTTCTTACAAGTGGAGGAACACAAGGCTGAAAATGCATGTGCCAGGAGTGGAAGGAGAACCATTAGGATTCTATTTTCAAAGCCACAGAATTCCCAGCAATTAGCATTTTACTGTTATACTCTCCTGGGATTGGAACATACGAAATTATGATTTTTCTATGAGAAATCCCTTTGACCTCTGAGATCAGAGACTCATTATTACCATTTTTGATGCCATACCTTTCTTTACCTTTCTTCAAGTTTCAGGGCACTGTTTGTTTTACTTGAGTCTTTCCTTAGGATAGGAAAGTATCCTCCCATGGGTTTGTCAGCATCTATTCTTCCGGATTGGCTCAACATCATTTCTGGAGGCGACAAATTTCCTACTACTGTAATTAAAGGGTATGTCTACAACTTACCACAAGAACCATAACACTGTACTTTTAATCCAATTATGTTTAATGTATCTTCTCCCCTCAACATTACTTCTAAACTTTTAATGTAGTACATGGCATATAGAAACATTCAACAGATACTTGGTGAACAGTCAGAAACACAGCACGCCTTTTGCTCATTCACTGCTTCAGATGCATACTATATGAAAAGAAAATAATCTCATTTTCCCCCACTAGAATACAGCAACATCTCTGAAAGTTTCTTCTTGTTTTTAACTATAAAGCTTTTCTTTGAGGAAAAAAACCCACAGAAACCACTATCCACAAACCAAAGTCTTTTATTGCTTTGTCTCTTGAGCACAAGGTAGGCATTGTGGCTTACGAGGGTAATTCCAATGCTTCGGATGAAGTGAATGGAAAGACGGCACAAGTCTGAGCATAGCTTGTGCTGTATGCTTAGTCTCAAGCAAGTCTGGACTACCGAATGATACTATTTCAAAACATAAAACAAAGAAGCTAAAAATTGAGAAACAGAATCATAACAGGAGGTTATGATATAACATACAATTAAGACATTTGTAAAAAAGTACTAGCATGTGGCAATTTATACATTAAAACTACACATATTCCTCAGTGCTTAGCCTTGCAGACTTATGAAATGATAATATAGCATTTACTATTAATAGCAAACTTAGCTAGTAAATCACAGCTGGCAGAGCTGGTCCTTAGTTACATTCCCATTACAGGAAAGCTAGTCTCCAACTTTAAAACTCCAATTTCAGAAGAGGTAGGCATGATATTAATTGATAAATAATTCTAAAAGCAAAGGGAATGCTTCATACTCTCAGTTTCATATCAACAACAAACATGTTTTTCTTTATCATTCTCAATATCAGGCAAAATGAATTTGGCTACAGCATGTAACATTCACTATATAAAAAGGAAACTTATTTTTCTCAACTGCTTACTCTGAATCCTTAGCTTTATTTTTTGCAAAACATTACTCCTGGCCTTTTGGTGAGGCCATTAAAAGTTATCAATTCATTTGTTATCCAGAAATTGTGGCACTAGTTGGCAAAAAGCCAGAAGCTGGCAAATATTGCATGTGTGTGGCAGAAGACCATCACACTGGTAAATTCTCTAACCAAAAGCAAGCAGAACTAGCTGGGTATGGTGGCACATACCTATGAACCCAGCACTTGGAGGCTGGGGCTGCAGAATTCGGACTTTGAGGGCTAGACTCGACTACCCAGCAAGACCTATTCTCAAAAACTAAAGAATGAACACACACACACACACACACACACACACACACACACACACACACACACACACACAGAGAGAGAGAGAGAGAGAGAGAGAGAGAGAGAGAGAGAGAGAATGCTTTGCTTGTCCCTGTTCCAGAGACAGCTACATCTTCTCATGCAGTGAGAAATGCAGATGGCCATGTTGCTAGCTTCCTTCATTGACCTCAACTACATGGTCTACACGTTCCAGTATAACTCTACCCATGACAAGTTCAACAAGGGCACAGTCAAGGTTGAAAACAGGAAGCTTGGCAACAACGGAATGGCCATGACCATCTTCCAGGAATGAGATCCTGACAACTCCAAGTGGGGTGATGCTGGTGCTAAGTATGTTGTGGAGTCTTCTGGTGTCTTCACCACCATGGAGAAGGCTGGGGCCCACTTGAAGGGTGAGGCCAAAAGGGTCATCATCTCTGTCCCTTCTGATAATACTCCCATGTTTGTGATGGGTATGAACCAGTAGAAGTATGACAATGCACTCAAGATTGTCAGTAATGCTTTCTGCACTACCAACTGAGTAGTCCCCTGGCTAAGGTCATCCATAACAATTCTGGCATTGTGCAAGGACTCATGACCACAGTTCATGCCATCACTGCCACCCAGAAGGCTATGGATGGCCCCTCTGGGAAGCTATGGCATGATGGCTATGGGCTTTTCAGAACACCATCCCTGAGCCCACTGGTGCTGCCAAGATTGTAGGTAAAGTCATCCTAGTGCTAAATGGAAAGCTCACTGGCATTGCCTTTCATGTTCCTACCCCCAATGTGTCCACCATGGATCTAACATGCCAATTATGATGACATCAAGACGGCAGTGAAGCAGGCATCCTAGGGCCCACTAAAGGTCATCCTGGGCTACAGTGAGGACTGTGTTGTCTCCTTTGACTTCAATAGTGATGCCCATTCTTCTACCTTTGATACTGGGGCTGGCACTGCTCTCATTAACAACTTTGCAAAGCTCATTTGCTGGTATGACAATGAATACGGTTATAGAAACTGGGTGGTAGACCTGATTGCCTCCATGGCCTCCTATGAGTAAGGAACGCTAGACCACCCATCCCATCCCTGCAAGAACGAGAGCAACAGAGAGGCACCCAGTTGCTAAGTCCCTGAGCCAACTCAGGGAAATCTGAGCATCTCCCTCACAATTTCCAGCTCAGACCCCCAGAAGAAGGGGAGGGGCTTAGGGATCACTTTCTTGAATACCATCAATAAACTTTACTGAACCCACAAGGGAGATAGTGAGAGAGAGACAGAGACACAGACACACAGAGAAGAGAGAAAGTGAAGTAAACATCTCTAGCTTGTCATTATTCAGACTGATGATTCCAAGAAAGCACTCAAAATAACCCATTAGAAGATTCAAAGTTCACATTGCAGAGTGTACCTGTGCTTGCAGTGAGGTCCACCTGAAATTTAGGAAACCTGCCTCATTTCTTGGATAAATAACAAAACAATAAAGTCAACACCTAACATATAGAAAGCCAACTCAAAGATGAGAAATGAAGAAAAGGAACCCCAAACAAGCAAAAGCTGACCATGGAAGGAAAAGCATTCTGTCCAAAGGGTTCTCTAGCTATTGACTAAGTCCTTTCTGTAGTCCAACACTTCACTACTGCTGATCAGCAGTCAAGGAACAGTGTTTACAACATGAACATCCTCTCTAGATTCCAAACAGTCCTTAATGAACCACTATACTGTCTCTTATAAGTTTAGTGGCAATACACTTGTGAGAAAAAGAGCTATATTTTGGGATTCACAATGACAAGTTTCTGATACTATGGTCCATAGACAAAATTCAGTGGTTTGAACTGACTCTTGCTATTTAGTAAATTAGCTAACACCAAGTAATGCATCACCTTGTCATGTACTTGGATCAGACTAACCTTTAACCAAACTGATAGTTACTAGGAAAAGCTGAGTATATCTGTGGTTCTTTTAGAATACATTACAACATTATTCACTTCTGGATATATGAAAATCATAAAACATGGATCACACAGCTATGGGAAAACAGGCATGTTCAGAAACTGCCGGTAGAAAAGGCAATGTCTATAGTCCTTAGGGAGGAAATTTTTGCAATCTTTAATAAAAATCCTACATCTGAGAGTGTATTAGAAGGCATGATTTCACCAGTAAAGGATCACACAATGCTTTCCATGCTCCATTCATCAGAAAATGTTTCACAAGACACTATGTATAAAGAGTACACAAAAGGATAAAGACATTTCTAAAGTACAGTATAACATATTCAAAGCCTAAAAATGTTTATCAATACTATACACTAGGTATAGACATGATACAAAAGAATGAGACATATAGGTGAGAAAAACTACAGCCAAAGAGTAACAATTACCACCAAGCTAGGGGAAAACAACAACAAAAACCTGGTGTGGTGCAGCAAAATCCTGAGAACTCTTAAATAAAAGTAGGTTACAAGGACATATATTTTAGGTATTTCAAGTATTTCATAGTTATGGACCTTATTATGCCTTCATAAGGAAACTCTAAATTGGTCATTTAGATAATAACTTACTGTTCATCAACAAGAATTTCTAAAAAAATCTAAAATGGTAAGTGACTAACTGTAATTTAGCCACTACTAAGCTTATGCTGCCACCTATCAAAACTCATGGGAACAGTTGGCGAGCAAACAAATTGGTGGTCTTTTTAAGATAAGCAGATTTATCACTTCAATAATTTTCAAATACCATGCAACTATGATATGAAGGTTTTTTAAGTTCATATACACATACATATTTTTGATATTCTTATCATTCATAATACATGGAAGAAAATAAATTTGTTCTTAGGCATCTAGCTTCTACCTTTATAACAGTTCCCTAATTCCTTTAAGGGGAATATTTTCTGATACCCAAAGTAGATGTCTGAAGCCACAGGTAGTTCAAAAATCCTGTAAATATGAGTTCTTTCCTGTGTGTGCATATTTATTTTTATTTATAGAGTAGATGCAAAAATTTTAAAACAATAGAATAAATCAATAGTAACATGCCATAGTGAAAATTTCTATTTCAAAGTATTTATTAAATATGGGTTATTTGCACTATGGTACGCTAACAGCCAATCTGAAGACTGAGGGCTTGGGGACCAATGAGTGCAAGCATGTATAATGCACATATCCTAGAATAAGAGGTAAATTACAACACGCACAGCACACAGTTTCATATGTTGC